CCCTCCCCCCCGCCCCCCCCGACTTCGTGCCGTGCGCCAGGGCCAAGGGCGCACTCCTCATAGCGCCCCGCCTTCGTCATCCCCATGGCACACCCACTACCCACGACTGAGAACGAGAGAGACATTGAGAGAGAAAGCGAGAAGTAGAGAAAATGAAAGAAAGGAAAGTGAGACATTGAAAAAATAAAGAATGAGAGACAAAAAGTGATGGAATTATTTTTATGGTATTTGTCTCAGAGGATATTTTATGAATTATTTTTATAAGGTTATTACACAAACATACTCCACAATGATGAGATATTGTCCGCTTTGGGACTTAGTCCTCACGGTTTTGCTTTTGGTCATGGCCTCTCAATCATTGAAGTATGTTTGTATTATATAAGTTGTTATTTGTTGTATTATTTTATCGATATGGGACTTGTTTGAATCCCAACAAAAAGAGACGTTAAGAGACATTTAAAAAAGAGACGTTAAATAAAAAAGAGACGTTGAAAAAAAAACAGAGAGGTTGAGAGTAAAAGAGAGACATTAGAAGAAAAAAAATACGTTGAGACGGTGTGTATAAATTGACTTCACTGTTCACTTCAAATTCACTATTCACCTTCACTATTCACTTCAAAAAATTTACTATTCACGTACACCGCTCACTTAAAAAAAATCCGCCTATTTTATTTTTATTTATTTACAATTTTTTTTTTGTATTCTAGCACATGGATCCCAATCAATATAATTTTTAAAGTTATTTTAATTATTTACAAAACCAACCACCACCTCCACCTCCTTCCGATGAAAATTATCAAAATCCTCATTTTTTTATATACCCACCACCACCATACTCTATCAATGATAATTTTTCGAGTCCTCATTTTTTTATGTATCCACCACCAATGCCAACCAATCCCAATATATTTTATAGGCATTCAATAGTTTTCAAAGAAGTTGCGGAGTCATTAGATCGGGAAACAGATTCACCAATTGGTTCAATATCTGAGTCTTAAGTTGGGTTAGAGAACATCACACTTGATGTAGGAGGACAACAAGGAGAAGAAATATGTACTAAAAAAAATCGCGTGTAAGCTTTTCTATCGAAGAGGATAATCTACTTATTCAATCATGGCTCAACATTTTGAAAGATCCAATTATGGGAGTTGATCAAACTGGAAATAGTTTCTGGATAAGAATCAAAGAGAATTACAACAACAATCGCAATCAATTTTTAGAAAGGAATTCAGGTCAATTAAAAAGTCGTTGGTTTCGAATCAATAAAGCAGTTTAATTATTTGTCGAATGTTATAAACAAGCTTGTGATAAAAAAAAAGTGGCAACTTAGAAAAAGACATCATGGAAAATGCATATAAAATTTACTCGCAAGATGTAGGTGATAAATTCAATTTTGAGCATGCATTGCTATTATTAAGAGATGAGCCAAAATGGAAATCTGAATCAATGGAGAGCTCTTTTAAAAGATCAAAGATCACTAAATTTGGGCAATACTCAACATCTTGTAACATAGATGCAGTTAGTGATTGTCAAGAATATGATCTAACAACACCAATTTGTCGTCCAATAGGTCAAAAAGTAGCGAAAAGAAAGAGTAAAGTAAAGGTTGACGAAACATCTTTCGACAAAAAAGAGTTGGATAATATGACAAAAGCAATATTAGAAAGAAGTGTTGTAGTAAAGAAATTGGCTGAAGCAAAGGAGCTGGCTAACTTTAGTGCAATGTATGAAATTCTCATAAAGGACACATTTGGAATGACTAAGAAGCAACTCAAAGATCATGAATTGGCTTGTAATTTTATTAGGCGCAAATTAGGAGAATAAATATTATTGTAATTTTAATTATCGCAAATTAGACTAACCGTTATAAACTTTATTGTAATTGAATTTAATTTGTTGTAACTTTATATTTACTTTTTTTGTAATGTTTGGTAATTTTTTTAATTATGTAATTTCTTTTTATTATTGTAATTTTTTTATTATGTAATTTCTTTTATTTGTTATTCATATTTATATATTATCCATAATATTAATTTTTTAAAAATTTATCATAAAGTGTAGTGTGAGTTGTTAAAAAGTGTAGTATGAGTTGTAAAAAATTAGAGGTGCTTATAAGCAATTTTCATGGAGCAAAAATTGTAAAAATATAGTATGAATTGCTTATAAGTGACGTGGCATAGTGAGACTCATTTAAAGTGGTTGGAAGTTGCTTATAAGCAACTCCCATTGTAGATGCTCTAAAGGAGTTGCTTTTTGTTTTTTTTCATAAATTGTTGGATTTTTGCTCATAAATAATGTTAACATTAATGGGTATCATTTTAATTACCCTTCACGTCATCACATGTATATTCTTGTTTCTCTCATCTACAATGAGAGTTGCTTATAAGCAACTCCCAACTACTTTAAATGAGTCTCACTGTACCACGTCACTTATAACCAATTTATACTATATTTTTACAATTTTTGCTCCAATAAAAATTGCTTATAAGCACCTCTACTATTTTACAACTCATACTATACTTTTTGACAACTCACACTACACTTTATGATAAATTTTTAAAAAATTAATTATTATGGATAATATATAAATATGAATAACAAACAAAAGAAATTACATAATAAAAAGAATTACCAAAAATTAAATATAAAGTTACAACAAATTAAATTCAATTACAATAAAGTTTATAATGGCTAGTCTAATTTGCAATAATTAAAATTATAATAATATTTATACTCCTAATTTGCGCCTAATAAAATTACAAGTCAATTCATGATCTTTGAGTTGCTTTTCAGTCATTCCAGATGTGTCCTTCGTGAGAATGTCATACATTATACTAAAGTTAGTTGCCTCCTTCGCTGCAACCAATTTCTTTACTGCAACATTTCTTTCTAATATTGTTTTTGTCATATTATCCAACTCCTTTTTGTCGGAAGATGTTTCGTCAACCTTTGCTTTACTCTTTTTTTTCGTTGCTTTTTGACCTATTGGACGAGACATTGGGGTTGTTGGGTCATATTCTTGACAATCACTTGCTGCATCTATGTTAGAAGACGTTGAGTATTTCCCAGATTTAGAGATCTTTAATCTTTTAGAAGAGCTCTCCATTGATTCAGATTTCCATTTTGGCTCATCTCTTAATAATAGTCATGCATGCTCAAAATTGAATTTATCACCTACATCTTGTGAGTAAATTTTATATGCATTTGCCATGATGTCTTTTTCTGAGTTGCCACTTTTTTTTATCACGAGCTTTGTTTATAACATCCGACAAATAATTGAACTGCTTTATTGATTCGAAAC